ACCAGGTCTCGACCGGGACAGTGCTGCTGATGTTTGGGGGCACATACAATGACGGCCGCTCGTCGTGTTGGAGTCAAGAAGAATCCTAATAGCCCTATAGTAGGATTTAGGGTCCAGGGCTTGAGGTTTAGGGTTTAGGGTTTAGGGTTTAGGGTTTAGGGGTTTAGGGTTTAGGGTTTAGGGTTTAGGGTTTAGGGTTCACGGTTTAAACTTAGAATTTGAAGGTTGAAGTTTTGCGGTCTAGGGGTTATATGAACTGTATAGACACCCAGATTGTGCTTGGTGAAGGGGACCATAGCCAGGAGCTGAGGAACGATGGAGGTTTGAATAAGTAATAAGCGTATCCCCTGGTTCTCTTTATTCCCTAAACCCTAAACCCTTTGTTTGGGGTTCTTGCAAGACAACTCTTTGCAAATCTGATCCATGTGTCCTACAACTTACTACAGGATGCTCGCTGCGCGTATCCCGCTATGGTGCGCTGCGTACTTTTTGCTGGCGTTCGACTATTTACCGAGGTTCATTGTAAATAAGATCACATGGGCTACTTTTGGCACTCGAAAACCTTGAACCGCTGACTTGTGACTTGTGTTTTCCCCAGCAATTTAGGCCCGTTCGCATGTGAAAGTGGTGGTGAGTTTCTGGTCCTACTGATTCTACTGGCATGCTTCTGGCAAGGTCTTTCACAGTTTGGCGATCTCCGCTGGCATAATGAGTAGTTACGGCCACGGCGCTAGGATTTCTATGTTCCATGTTTACGCTTGTAGCGCTTGTCATCTTTCCGAACGCTTTTCGGGTAAGGGTTCTGTCAGGGTTCTAAACGGCTCAAAACGGCTCTCACGGAAGGGTGCTAGAAGCGTTCTGTACGGGTCCCAGAAGGGGTTCTGTCAGGTTACTACATTGTGTGTTTTGCGGCTTGATGTAGGGTTACTTTTTTGGCGGTTCAGAGCTTTCTGTTGGGGCCCCTGGAGTTGTGCTGTCAGCGGCGGAAAGGTAACACCGATAAAGGGACGACGCGGGGCTTTAGGGTTCCTGTCATGGTTCCATGGGATTTTGTAGGGCTTCTGTAAGGTTCCTTTAATGGTCAAGTTTGCGGTCTGCGCAAGCCCTAAGCCCTAGGGTTCAGACGCCCAGCTACTCCAGACAAGCTAGGTAAGCTGCAACCTGGGACAACAACCTTTCCCACCCCAAACCCCTTAAACCCCTTCAAATCCACAACCCTGAAGCCTTACGGCCGTAGCGCAAGTTGCAGTCCAGCTTGCATGGGATACGCATGCCCGCGTCATCAAGAGATGCCTATGTTGGTGTGCTTTCTTCAGCTTGCTATTGATTCAGGCCTCACTCTTGCTCGGATTGTCTGCATACAGCTCTCATTCCTCTACCTAAAGCCTCGACCCTGCATAAACCCCTGAGAAAAGCTGCATAAAGACTTGTATAACACACGTCTAAATCCGTATACAACCTGTCTCCCAACACCCGGAACCCTAAACCCAAAACCAAAAGCTGTGAATTCTTATGCCCGAGGGACGCAGATCTATCGGAGCGACCTCTGGCAGTTCGACGGAAGTGTGCCCTGGCTTGCTTTTAGGGCTAAGGGTCTGGTGCCTTGAGGCATCGTAGGGTGTCCCTGGAGGTTCATGGGCAGTTAGAAGTGGGGTTATAAGTCCCTTAATGCGGGTTATAACTAGAGTTATCCGTCTCATGAACCCTGCTTCTAACTACCCATGTCCTCCAAGTAGGGTTCGTTTGGGTGTTTTTCGATACTTGGGGTTGGGCTTAGGATTCGGGTTTCCAAGTTCCCTCACATACAACAAGCCAAGCAGCAGGCACCGAAGTACATTGCGCAGAGAGCGCAATACTCCTGAAATCAGGCGGGTTAAATCCAAAGCCTTAAGCTTTTGGCCGAGGTGTGGTCGATGCTGAACGAGGCTACACTTCCGGGGCGCCACGGCTTCAGGGAAAAAACCCTGGGGCGTCTCGAGAATTCAGGTTCAGGGGTTTAGGGTTTTAGGGTTGTAGGGTACGGTGTGAGGCGCAGAGATGACAGAATCCCTAGGCCTGAGCTCCAGACTAGACATTCCAAACCTCAAACTTAGATCTTAGACTTAAATCCCTGAACCCCAAACCAATCCTATAGAACCCTTTAACCCTAAACCCTAGACCCTAGACCCCTAAACCCTAAACAGATAGACTCAGGGAAAGGAGCTGAGGGTCGAAAGCTCCCCGTTATTGTGTTTGAATCTTTCGGGCTTCCGGGGTAGAGGGCTGAGAGGCCTCGGGGCTTTCTCTGCGGAGTTCCGTCGCCGGTTTGTGCTTAGGGTTTAGGCTTTAGGGTTTGGGGGGTTCATAATTGAGGGGGGTTTAATAATTTAGAAGAATGGCTTTTGTTAGTACTCCATCAGGATGGATTGATTTTTGGCTCCTTCTAGCCCATCACAGCAAGAATCGGCGGAGTCCAGGCTTCATGGGCACACGGCCGTCTACGATCCTGTCAGCGACGGGATGCTGGTCTTTGCTGGTTATGCTTCTTGCCATAAGGATTTAGGGTTAATGGTTTGGGGTCTAGGGGTTTGATGAAGACAGGGTTAAGGGTGTGTATCGCATGTATCCGGCCCTGATCAGCAGAAAATGGCTTTGGTTTTAGGGCTTTTATGCTCAGATGTATCGTGTGTGTAAAAGGGTTTAAGAAGAAGAGTTTTCTTCGGGTCCACAGAGTGCTTCATGAGGTTAAGGTGGGCCACGAGGCTTTGATTTTTCCCAGTCGGGAGAATGTGTTGTGCTCAGATGACTAGCTTCTTGTTGTCGTTGTTCTTGTTGCGTCGCGTAGCTGGTACGGCTTACTGAAGGATCGCAACCCCGAGCTCTAAATCCTTAGCCCCTAAACCCGAGGGACGCAGGCCAAGCACTCAAGCCATGTTTCTCGGAGCTCAGCGGGGGTTTCGCTGACGTCCTCTTCCCGAAAACTCACAACGAACACTGAACCCTGGATCGTTCCGAAGAAATTTTGCACATATCCTTTATGAGCCGAAAAGTCTGGTGTGTGATTCGTGTAATGTGGGGGCCTTAATAATTAGAATAGGGTTTTGGGGGTTCCTTATTTTAATTATAGTGTAATATCGCTTCAGAAGACCGACGCAAGTCCGCACCACCATCCCAAAACTCCATTCTAATTATTAAGGCCCCTCAATCCGAGCACGTATGGCCACCCCAGTTGCAAGTGGTTTCAAAGCCGTGCTGCCAGACGTTTGCGCTGCTCCGCCAAGTCCTAGACCCAAAACCCTCTTTCCAGCCCTGGCAAGGCAAACGGGATCCTGTCCAACAATTTCTACCGCTGGAGAATCCAGGTGCCAAGGGGGGGAGAATCCCTAAACCCTAAACCCTAAACCCTGGAGAATCCAGGTGCCAAGGGGAGGAGAATCAGAGGGCCGGGGAAGTTTGGTTGCATTCCCTTCTCAAGCTGTAAACCCCCAAACCCTGCATGAACGAAGCCCTCAACCCCACACCCGAAACCCCAAGCCCTAAACCCCAAACCCAACACGCTAAGCCGTTGCTTCTGGCTTCAAGTTTAAGTGCAGGAAGTTTGTTGTAAAGTAGCTTCCGAGGTTGTAATTCCCAGTGTTCAGAGTTTCCGGTTTAGGGTGCAATAGAGGCCTACCAATGTCGGCGAAGCAACGCATGGTTCGGATTTCGGGTTTAGGGGTTTAGGATGGGGCTTAAAGTCTAGGTTTTAGGTTGGGCAGCCCGGGACGGGATCATTCGGATTCGGGGAAGGATTGCAGAGAGAGTGGTTCCAAAGGGTAGCCTGGCTGCCCTTACCTCATAGGCCCTAATAAAGGGGTCGAAAAACTTACCGATAGTATGTCGGGGGTTCCTTGTTATAATTACAGTATCATATGCCCCAAGACCCTATTCTAATTATTGTGCCCCCTACATTAAGCCGAGATCACCGCTTGGCTACCGTATGTCCTGCTTTAAGGTTCATGGTTCTAGTAGGATTACTGTTTTGAGCTCCCGAACATACCTACACCCCAGAACTTCTGTTACCCTTCTTGTACCCGAGGCACAGAACACGAAGTTTCCTGACAAGTGAAACTGCCACCCGTCAGTTTGGACATTGGGTGGTCGTGTCTGGAACCGGAACTGTACCCGATGCGAGGGAAGGGCATACGGCAGATGCTCGGCTGATGAGATCGTGTGGGCTAGTGTTTTGCAGGAAGGCTATGGGGATGATCTTTGTCACTCATTGCCGGCGTTGTCGTGACTAATGCTGTTAGTGAACAAGCCACTTCGAATTGTGCACTAGGTCTAGTGTTTCTCATTCTCGCACTACCTACTTCTTACTCTTCTTCTTGTTCTGGTCGGCATCTCCTTCGTCGTCTTCACATCGTCTCTCGGGCTCAGAATCGGTCCAGATGTCAATAATTTCGCCAAGATGGCATGCCGGCGGTTTCTGTGATCGCTGCAGGTGCAGAAGCTCATGTCCAAGAAACAGTATCAACAACTGCTGCTGCTACTGCTACTGCTGCTACTCTACTACGGTTACCACTGTTACCGCTGCTACCATGGTTACCACTGCTACTGCTACCACTGCCTGCTGCTAGTACTGCTGCTGCTACTACTGCTACTACTGCTGCTACTCTGACTACTACTACTGTAGTACGAATGCTACATTTGCTACTGTTGCTGCTGCTACTACCTGCTACTACTACCACAACAGCAACTACTGCTACTACTACTACTACTACTACAAGTTACTACAACAACAACAACAACTACTACTACTACTACTACTACTACTGCTACTACTGCTACTGCTACTGCTGCTACTGCGACGACGGCGCCTACTACCACTCCTGCTGCTGCTGCTGCTGCTGCTGCGGCTGCTGCTGCTGCTGCTACTACTCCCCTGCTACGACCTATGACACGACGACGACTACTGCTACTAAGAGCTATGTTGCCGCGACCACTATCACCAACCCGACCGCGATGCTCCATGTCAGCAGGTGGCTCTGTCCGAGCTTCGTGAGCGACTGCTCAAGCAGCGTGGGGAGGCTGGGTCCGTTGTGGGAGAGTGCAGGGACCAGATTGTTCTGAAACTTCTCTCCCGGACGTGCAGTTTAGGAAGTTTGAGGAATCGTGGTACAGTGCCATATGGGACGGAACCGAAACCTGAGACCTTAAACCTTGAGTTGCGACAGTCCAAAGCACGGTATCGTGAGTTGCAAATCCTCAGACGACATATGGGAGCTTGGCGACTTATCAGTAATCCTTCCTCCATAATCTCCACGTAGCTGACACAGCCCGATCTGGGAAATAGCAGGCTTTGGTACTGGTAACATGTTGTATATCGATCCCGGAACCCCAAAGCCCGAAATGGAGGAGGCTAAGGAGAAGCAGGATGAGGAGGGGGAGGAGGAGGAGGAGGTGAAGCAGCAGCAGTGATGGTCTCAGTCTGAAGTCTAGGGATTTGGCTCAAGTGCTGGGATAGAGCCATGGACGTGCCCTGGCAGAGGGTAGGGCCATGGGTCGCGACGGTAGAACGCCCAGAAGTGGTGCCACTCTCTAGGCACACGGCACGGCCACACGCCAAGGTGACCGTGCCCACAGCAGGGCCGGCGGGGCGCCACGACGGCCACAGCGCCGCGACGGTGTCGCGAGAGAGCGCATGGCTCTTGGGCTTCACAGCGGCGGCAGCTGCAACCTCGCGAAGATGCAGGAGCCGGCTTTGCAGGCGAGCCTCCATTAGCACCTTCCGCAAGAGAGAGGAGAAGCGAGAGCGACGTCGCCGCTGGCTCCAGGGACTGGAGAAAGTGTCGGATGCTGAGGCTGCGGAGGCAGAGGGCACCTCGGTGCCGAGCGGGAAGGCCCCGGTCTTCGCGTCGGCCGCGGAGCAGTCCTCCAGCACGAAGCTTCGCCGTGGTCCTCGGAGTGACATGGAGGAGCCCTTGGACTGGAACAATCCGGGCACCAACGTTTTGGAGAAGGCTCGTTTGGCAGCGGAGGATTGGGGTGGTTGGGATGAAGATGGCTGGTCTGCGGATCCTGCCGCCAGCTCCGGCTCGATCGAGTCCATTCCGCTGCCAGGATTCTTCCGCATGAGGAGAGCCCAAGCAGAGCCCCCGAAGGCCATCAAGGAGTTCATCGCTTTGCATCAGTTGGGAAATGTGAAGCTCCCAAAGCTAAAGCGTGGGGAGCACCGCCCAGCCATCTTTGCGGGCTTCGATCCAGCACACGACGGCCGAAGAGGTGCAGTCGATGATGGCAGAGGCGACACCTTGGGACGCATGGCTACTGCCGTACACAAGGGCTTCCTGAGGCAGCGGGCCCGGTGCCATCCCTCCACCTCGCCTCCTCTCGCCGAGCGGCCTGAGGTGGCGTTCATCGGCGCTTCCAATGTCGGCAAGTCCTCGCTGTTGAACTCGCTGACACGGACACAGCAGCTTGCGCCTGCGAAGGATGATCCTGGTGTCACTCGTTCCATCGACTGGTACAAGTGCAGCCGGCTGCCCTTGGATGTGATCGACCTGCCTGGCTATGGCTATGCCAAAGGAGCCGAGTTTGGGCCGCTAGTAGCCCAGTTCCTGCAAAGCCGGAAGTCCTTGCGGGTCCTCTACTGCCTGGTGGACGCCAGAACAGGGATCCGGCCGACGGACTGGAGGTTCTACGCGTCTCTCGGCAACCGAGGGCCCGAGAAGGTCTTCATCCTTACGAAGTGCGACATGGTCGTTCCCAAGATGCTGGCGAAAGTCGCGACCCTGGTTCTCGAGGACATCCGGAGCATCCCCCGATCGAGTCAGCGCCTGATCATGGTCTCTGCTCGACTGGGCCAGGGTCTGCACGACCTGCGCTGCCACCTCTGCTCCAGGGCCGTGACGCTGATGCGAGAGCTCAGGAGACGACAAAGAGAGCACTCAGAGGACTCGGAGCACTGAGCAGCGCAAGCAAGCAGCATGCCAGCATGCAAGCGCACAAGAACGTGACAGGCAGACGTGGTGTGAGATCCCCGATCCCGACCCGGGCGGATGCGTCTTGCTCTGACCTTGTTTGTCCTCCCCAAACCTCGCCTGAGCTTCGAGCGCGAGTGCTAAAAATAGTCTCAGTCTTAGTCTCAGTATGTGTTGCGTGCCAGCAGCACAAGAAAGCCTGACGACCGCGGTAGCATCGGCCGATAGCGCGATGAAAACAACCGTGTGCTGTGGTTAAGCTGAAAGCCAGTCACTGCTCCACTTTCGGCTGCCAAGTCAGTGTGCTTGTTGCAGAACTGGCAGTACTGATGCGGCACCTCTTCTGCACGCCACAGGCTGCCGCAGCGTCGAAGAAGCAATCCCAGGCTCGAGACACCACCCAGCAGCCTTTGTCGACTCTGACTGTGCCGATGGGCTTAGACGGGGTCCTGTGTTTGGAGTCTTGACACAGGAATCATAACAACAGCCACATGGTATTGTCAGCAACTGCCAATCAAAGTTTGCATCATAAGATGACGGTGGAAGGTAGACTGGAGCATTCTACCAAAGAGCTTCCCATCCTCCCAAAAGCTGGCGTTGGCATGACAGCTCCCCCGAATCGTCACTTGCAGGATCCATCAGCCAGGACACGGATTTCTGACACGGCTGCTCTCACGGGGTGTTTGTCATCGTGTTGTCCTCTGTCTGTAGATGTAGAAATAGGACCTACTTTTGAAGCGTTGTCGGCTGGGGCGAAAACCCGCAGACAGCGACTCTACACCCCTAAACTTCTAAACCCCTACAAACCCCTATAAACCCTATAAACCCGAAACCATTCGTCGAAGAGGCCGCGGCCGTCGGCGAGGCGCCGGCTGCTGCACCCGCCGAGGTTCCAAGCATCCCTCGTTACGGTTTAGGGTTTAGGGTTTACGGTTTAGGGTTTAGGGTTTAGGGTTTAAGGTTTAGAGTTTATGGTTTGGGGTTTAGGNNGGTTTAGGGTTTACGGTGTAGGGTTATGATGTTCCTGGCACATGCATAGTCCAGGTGTAAAAAAGGGTGTTTATGTTCGAGTTGTGCGAATGTCATATTCCTTCACCACCAGGTTTGAGGAACCTCAGCGCAGAGTCCAGCGCATGCCAGATGCCCTACGCGTCGACAGCCAAAACCAAAAGTGCCTCTTTTGCCTGAGTTAACACCACAAAGCCCCTAAACTACGAATAAATCGAGAAGTGCACCGAAACCCCAAACCCTAAACCC